TAGATACTCACTGTCTTCAAAAACGCTAATATTAACATCCACACTCTTTTAATTACCTGAAAGGTAGGCACAAATATTATACAAACATGTGTTGTTAAAGCTGAGAAAATACACAGAACTCGTTAATGAGATTCTATTGACAGAGCTCTGGGAATTTACCCTAAGAGACTCAGACATTAGGAAGCATAGCACAGCTTACACTAGAAAAATGAAGTTCTTTGATGATGGCCTTCACTTTTAATTATAATGCCCCCCCAAAATACAATGCTATTCTGTTTTCTCTATAGGCATTTTACAATTAGGATTGCTGTGTCTTGCTTTTAAAGAGCATATGAGCAAAAAATCATAGTGTCTTTATCGCCTTTGGAACTACCTAGTAATTAATTCAAAGGCATATTTCATCTGAATTTTCTAGACTGGCATTGCCATTGGAAAATTAAAAATAAAATGTTCCATTCCTACTGTGCTGTTTAGCAAAAGGATAGGGACACTCAGAGAGAACATAGCTTTAAAAATACTGGCTACCATTCCACTCTAAAAACAAAACAAGCCCAGGAGTGTTTGCTATGACTTTGAAGAGGAGCTTGTGTGGATTTAGAGTTAAATGAAATATCACTTCCAGAAATGGAGGTGTGGGACCCATAACCAGTTTGTGCACTATTTGTCTTGTTTTCTGGTAGTGTTGTTCTGTGGGCAAGTCACACATCGCCCCTTGAGAATAACCTCTTGATTTGTTCAAATTGGTTATAATAGATTTTGAAGATTAATATTGCACTACTAGAAACAACAATAGATTTTATTTGCCTGGTTATGTGTTAGTTCTGGAGAGATACAATTATCAAGCTAGATACCATCATTAGCCCCTAAGAGATTGTGGTTTATTGTTTATTACCCTGATAATTAATCAAATAACCTTGCACAAATTCTATCAAAGGAAAATGCTTTATCACGTGCTTCTTTATCACGATGGAAAATTGAACCAAAAACACAACTAGAGAAAGATTCATTCCCAATGGAAATATGAAAATCTAAGCGTTTGTTTCCAATATGCCTCCAAAGCCACACTGTTCTATCTCTTCTGGAGGAAATTCGTTACTTACAGGTATTTCACAATGACTCTGTATTCCATGTCTTTGCATTCCCAAAATTTGAAGAAAGTGCTGGTTATCCTAATGTGTTATTTGGATCTATTAAAATAGTGGAAGTTTGTAAGTGTCCAACGATGAGCTTAATCATCTGTTTATATTGCAGACATAAGGAATGCATTTTATTTATCCTGAAGCATCCTTACCACTAGGTACTATCTGCTACCTGCAAAGTTTGAATTTCATTCTCTCAAGCAGGAGTTCAACTCAGTCATTGCCTTGTCAACATGCTCAGGATCATTTCCTTGAATCTCTACCTTTAAATGAGCTTAGAGTTGCTTTATATCAGAATACAAGATAAATATACTTAAAACTTTACCAAATTTTCTAAACTGATAGTCTATGGCTGATTTATGACACTCTGTCTACTGGTACAACATAAGATAAAAGGGGACTTGAGCAGTAAGTTACATGATAGTCATAATGCTCACCCAGGCCATTTCTGTTGGGCATGCCCCACATCTGGGACTTAGGGTGGGTGGGAAACTGGGTGGGGCTTCTTCCTCTATATCCCCATTTAGGCCTTGAACCTTTTTTACCCCAATTAAATATGTAAGGATTGTCAAAATAAAAAAATAAATTAATTAATTAAAAAAAGACTCCATTTCCTTAACAACAATATTGTTGGTGGTGAATTTTTTGAATGATGTGAAACAAAGCACAGAGTGTTAGCGTTGCAAGGGACCAAGTGATCGAAAATGTAATCCAAATTGGCTGAAGTCTAACAGGATAATGTAGTAAATGACTCCTATGAAAAACAAGAGAAGGGAGGTTCTGCCTGGTGGTGGGTAACCCAATTAAAGCCTGAGAATTTGTCTTTATCTCTTATGCATTGTCAGAAACTGTGGAATGCATCATATAGACTAACTTGACTATCAGTGATGCATACATTTTTTTTTCTGGAGTGTTTCCCATATTTCCGGAACTGTAAAAGTGCAAACTGTGTTTCTAGACTTTCTTGTGATCATGGGCAGGCATCATTTACATTTTGCTATGGAATTGTTTGATACTTTGCTTTGGAAGGGCTGCGTATTTAACATGCTAGGGATCGATCCGTGTTCTTTTAGATTGAATCATGGTGGCAGTAACTATTCATCAGTAGTCATTGCCTAACTCAGTGACTTTCTGCAGTGAAAATACCTGCTTCCCTGGTTTGGCATCTTTAGCTTAGTTCTGAGGTCAATAGCTTGTTGATTTAGAACTTTCTCACATTGGTTATGAAAATTCTTTCAAGAAGTAGAGATTTTGAACACTTATTGACTCTCTTAGAAATCCATGCTAAAGCTAAAGCTACTTCCTCTAGCAAATGAATAGTATTCCAGTCTTCCAAATGTTCAGGTGAATATTTGTTATTTTTAAAAGGTGTATGTGGATTTAAAAAAAAAATAGTTTTGAGCCTGGCACAGTAGCATGGCAGCGTAAGTCCCGGCCTTGCATGTGCCAGGATCTCATATGGGCACTGGTTCTGCCCTGCTTCCCATCCAGCTCCCTATTTGTGACCTGGAAAAGTGGTCAAGGACATCCCAAAGCCTTGGGACCCTGCACTCACATGGAAGACCTGGAAGAAACTTCTGGTTCCTAGCTTCAAAACGGCTCAGCTCCAGCCATTGCAGCCACTTGGGGAGTGAACCAGCAGATGAAATATCTTCCTCTTTGCCCTCCTTTCTGTATATCTGACATTCCAATAAATAAATCTTCTTTTAAAAAACATAGTTTTAATTCTATTTTACCGCATAGTTTTTGAAGTATCATCCTAGACCAGCAATTTAGGTAAGAAGAAATAGAAACATTTCAGGATACCAACCAACCTCCACCAACAGAACAAAGGTCGTCGGTACCAAGGGAGCATCATGATGAATGAGGGGAAGCTTAAGGATTCCCTCTGAAATCCAGAACAAGGTGAAAGTTGTCCATGATTATTCTACATAATACAGAAAGTTTTAGGCAGAGGAATTATTCAAGAGAAAGAAAACAAAGAGCACCCAAAATAGGAAAAGAGGACTTAGATTGTCAGTATTTTCAGATGATAAAATTGTGTTATATATTGAAAAACCCAAAGGAATTTATCCCCAAACTGTTAGAACTAGTAACTGTACTTAGCAAAGTTGTTAAGACACAAAGTAAATGCAAAGTTCAGCAGCATTGTTACACACTACTATGGAGCATCTCTGAAGAAACCACAAACTTCCATTTCTAATAGCCACAAAATAATTAGAATAGCTAGAAACAAGCTAAGTGAAGAGATGAAAGAGCTGCACAATAAGCACCACTAACCCTTGATGCAAGATTTCTAGCGCTTTTCTAAGCAGCTTCTCAAAGCAGGGTCCACAGGTGGTCAGCTTCTGCTTCAACTGGTTGTAGTGGTTTCTGTTGTCTGGAATAGTCACTTGAATGACATAAGCTCATTACTAGGTTCTATTCAGGGATAATATAGCAAGAGCAATCACCCAGCATACTCCCCACGATTCAGCTCCATAGAAAAAGCACACACTTAAATCACTGGGGACATAGGCTAGCCTTGCCACCTTGAATTACATGTTTATCATAGGAGACAGAAGCAAAGTGTGTTACACTGGATGGAACCCTGCAGGCCTAGAAGTGTGCCTAGTTTGATCAAAAGCATCTCATAAATCAGAAGACCCTGCGCACAGCTCTACTATCCCTCTCCAATCACGTACCCTTTGTGAGTTGACAGTTCACAAAGTTGAATGATTCCTAATGAGCTTTAAGCTTTCAAGCTTCAAGACAACAGGGCTTTCAAAAGCCTCTACTCTAATTAACCAACACTAATTTTGTCTTTTGATTTCATGTTCTGAAAAAAGACCACGAGTATTCATTTTGGACTAGGCTAAATTTCTGTTTTTCTCCAAGGCTTTATTTCTAAATATAAAGCCCCAAAATGTCTTACTGTAAAAATTTCTAAATATAAAGCTCAAAAAATAACTATCCTTCTATACAAAATGAGAAAAGACAAAACTTCAGAGGCATGAAATAATCAGGGGCTTCGGAGTGTTTGTCAGATGAATAAAGTGAAGGAGGGATGTGCTGCTATAATTTTAAGATGGAAAAGTTTTGTTGCGTGTGATACTGCAATGTTAAATACTTGTCATGACACATGTGTCAACACTCAGAGAATATACAACACAGACTGAATCTATGTAAATGGTGGATTTTATTAGTAGTAATCAATCAAGATTCCTTTACTGTTTTCTAACAACGAAGTTATACAACTTGTGTTGTTAATATAGAAAATTGAATGTGATGAGTGAATGCATGGAAAAATCTTGATTTTCTGAGAACCATAAATTTATAGATCCAGGACCCATTTGGAGAACCACATGAAGCATATCAAAATGAAGTTACTTAAAGTTATACATAGTATGTTTTTCCATGTGTTTTTTTTTCTTTTACTTTCCACAATATTTTTTGCTGAGTACTTCTTATTGTTAAAATCTAATAGAAATTTTTTCCTGATTATTAAAAAGTACTGATGTAGCTAACTTACAAAGACAAGAGATTTATTCTGGCCCATTGTCCAAGATCAGGAGAGGCCCCTGAGATTAGTTGGTTGTGGCTATGTTCTTGCTGGCAGAGTCCTCGGGTGGCACAGGACATTACATGGCAACACAGGGAGGGGAAGTGAGTGCGCATGCTTCCCCAAGCTGTGATCACTGTCTCTGTCCTCATTTACTCACTAGGACTCAATCGTGGCCACTCTATTCTGATTGTTCCATCTCATCTCCAGCACTGTCCAGAACCACATCTCTGAATATCACAGATGTTTGAGGTTTCCAGCCCTCTTTGTACCATTGCTCTGTGACTTGTAAATGGAACCTCTTTTTGAGTGTGGCATATAGCTTTGTGCAATGGCAGTATCGTAGTCAATGAGATTTTATATAAGGCACAATTATTGCTAATTGAAAATTTGATTTTGGGGGATGATTCATAGCAAGTAATATCCCATGATGTGAGGCTATTTCAATGTTAATTTTAATTTTATCTATTTACAAAGTAATGGGTATGTGGATTGTTCACAGGTTTTGGACTACCACAAAGAAAGCTGAGATGAAAGTCTACATATAGATTTTTTTAAAGATTTATTTATTTTTGTTGCAAAGTGAGATATGCAGAAAGGAGGAGAGACAGAGGGGAAGATCTTCCATCCGATGATTCACTCCCCAAGTGACTGCAATGTAAGGTGCTGCGCCGATCCAAATCCGGGAGCCAGGAACTTCTTCCAGGTCTCCCACGTGGGTGCAGGAACCCAAGGCCATCCTCGATTGCCTTCCCTGGCCACAAACAGGGAGCTGGATGGGAAGTGGGGCTGCTGGGTCTAGAACTGGCACCTTATGGGATTCTGGTGCATTCAAGGCGAGGACTTTAGCCACTAGGCTATCGTGCCAGGCCCTACATATAGATTTTTATTTTAACTTACTTTAGTAAATTTCAGGAATGCAACTGCATGGTCAGATAGTAAGCACTTACTTAATACTGTTAATAAATTTCCAAATTTTCTCCAAAGTAACTATGTCATCTTGTATTCCCAATTACCCAAATATGGACGTTCCAGTTGTCTTACAATCATATCAAGACTAGATTGTGGTAGGATTTTAGTTGAAGTCATCCTAGTTACATATCACATTGTGGTTTACATTCACATTTTGACCAGCTTTTCTCAAGTGTCTTTGGCATTTTTTATCTTCTTTAAAACCATTTGTCTTAATTTTCTGCAACTGTTTTTCATTATTGAGTCATAGGAGTTCTGGATATATTTTCTTTACAGTATGAGCTATCTGTCAGTAATATGAATCTGCTTTGTAAATTGAATGTTATTTTATTTCTATATGCATACATATGTGTATTTTATATTAGCATTGATTATGATTATTATTCATGATGTAGGTGCATAGGCAAAGAGATTTCCCCCTCAATTACCCATTTCCTTGCCATTGTTTGCCACCATATTATTACATCCTGCAGCAACAATCACAAATATGATATTATGTTTAAGTGAATCATGACATTGTAGGTGTAAAAATGGTAGAAAGACTAATAGTCTATTGTCAAGGTGTACTTAAAAGTGTGAGAATTCTTTTACTCAGGACCAGAGAAGTTTACTGCAACATATCTTTATGATATGTTAGTCTCCATTATGAAGTTCATCTATGAGAAGATATGTATTGTATCTATATCTATATCTACATCTATTTATATTTACCTATTGGTTTATCTGCATTTGGCATGAAGGTTGCCTTATACCAGAGAGACCACATGATATTTGTCCTTGGAGATTGGCTTATTTCACTGACTGAGCAAAACGATCTCTGGCAGGGACCATTTTGTTACACATGGCAGCATTTTTTTCTTTTTAATGGCTGAGTAGTTTTCCCTAGAGTAGATTTACCACAATTTCTTTATCCATTTCTCTTTCAACAGGCATCTGAGTTATTTTTGTGTCTCTATTAGTGTGGATTGTGCTGCTTCAAACATGGAATTATAGGTCACTTTCTCATATATGGATTTTGCTTCCTTTGGATATATTCCCAGGAATAGGATAGCTGTGTTATATGATTTTCAGTTGTCTGACCACTCTCCATACTGACTTCCATGGAGGCTTATAAGTCTGCGCTCCCACCAGCAGTGGAATAGGTTACCTTTTCCTTACATCCACACCAACAGGTGTTTTAGTAGAGTTTGAATGCAGGCCAATTCCATGGGAGTTCGGTCGAACCTCAATGTGTTTTTTTTTTTTTTTGTATTTAATTGTATTTAAAAGAGCCAAGGTTCAGGTATGGGCATTTTGTTTGATAATTAGGATACTGGTTAGACTGCCCACAGCCCACACGATTCATGGATTCCATGATGAGGAGCCTGGCTCCACTTTGAATTCCAACTCACTGGTGTGCAAGCTAGGAGGCAGGAGGTGATGACTGTTCCAATGGAGTGGGTCCCCACCCAGAATTTCTGGCCTGTGTTGGTATTCTAGACAGGGAACCAACAGATGGAAGATTTTAGTCATCTATCTCTGCTTCATCCTTCAGTAATTTTTTTTTTAAAAAAACTGAAAGAATGTAAAGAGATTGAGTTGAGTTCCTGGAGTAGCAGTCCAAGTCTTGACTGTTTAGTTTCTGATACTTGTTTAAAGCACCCAAGAAAGATGATCCAAGATAATTTCCACCCGTGTTGGAAACCCCAAGGGAGTTCCTAACCTTAGCCTGGCCCAGATTTGGTTGCCGTCACCATTTGGGAAGTGAAGACGTGAAGAGCATCTCTCGTTCCCCCCACTCCTGCCATTATCTTTTCTTTTCATACTCTGAGTTTCTTTCTTTGAAATTCTGTCTTAAAATGTTTGTGGAGCAATGATTGAAATTGTTGTTGTATAATTTGTACCTCTTTATTCTATTTAAAGAAAAGATCACTTTTCTAGCTTTTATTCTTTACATTTTTTTAGTGTTCCTAAATTATGTTATTCTTAGATAACAAAAAAAAAACAGTAATTGCCCTTATTCTGCACCCAAATGTTTAAGACATTTGTTAGCTTATGAATTATATAATGAGAGAAATGACTATGGTGCAAAATAATTAAAGTGGCATGAGAGAAAACCCCTGGTTCGGGATGACATAATCTTAAGATACACTGATAGTTCTCCACTAACAATCATATTGTATCCTTTGTGTGATCTACTTATCCTCTTTGGAAAACTGGAAAATTAAACTCAGTATTGCTGACATTCACTTCCTGATGTAATGTCCTAGGACATTTAAATAGTTCTGTGATTGATTCTTAATGTTGTTATCTAGGACAAATTCAATAAATCTCTTGAATATAGGGATTTTCTGCAGAAATCTAAAATTCATACACAGTAGTTGTCATGTTCTATTAAAAGAAAAATTAGTCAATGAGCAATGTTCATTAGTTATTCCAATTATTTAAGGTCGCACTATGAAATATGTATGTGGGTTTCATATGCCAAGTACTTTCACTCAGTGTGTGTGTGAGGGATAAGAGTGGGAGGGCATGCAGATGGGTTTGCGTATTCATTCAATTATTTATGATAACCAAGTGTGGTAAGTGCTATACTTATCTCTGATTAGCATCTTTATAAAATAGGAACTTGGGGTTAAGCAAATTCTTTTAGACCGAATGAACAACGAGACAGAGCCAGGATTAGAACCTGACGAGCACTGTATTCTAAATTAGAATGCAAGAGTGTCACAAAGCCTTGAGACATTTTCAAGTGTATCTCTTTTAACTCTTATGGTTTAGGTATAACTTATAATAGTGTTTTCAGAATCATTGTTAAATCTTCATTTAGGCACCTGCCTTCTCTCCACCCAAGTATGCACTCAACAGAAGTCTTCATTTCTGCGACAATAGGTGTAGATAATGAGAGAATGATATGGGAAATTTATGATTCTGAATAAGTCTAGGGAATGAAACAGCTTTCTACTGGGCAAGTTGGATCCTATATGCTCTCAGGGAAAGTGAAAAAAATGTTTATGAGAAATCAGTGGTCCTTCCTCACTCTGCCTTTTTTTTTTTTTCACATTCGGAGATAACATTTTATTGTAGAAATGAGCCAATACCTAAAAAAATAAATGAAATGCTCACATGTTAATATTTCTGCTACCTCATAGAGTATAGATTGAGATTACACAGCACCTTTTTCTTTTGTCCTTTATATATATTATTTTGCTCAAAAAATGTTATTATCACAATTGTTCACTTACAAGTTCTTGTATATCATTGTGAAAAATGTTACATATGATGGGTTCCTGTGGTCACGTTGCTGGAGTTGTGAATCTGGGATGCTTTACATTCATTCCAGAATCTTCTCGATTGGGAGCCAGACACCAATTTTGTGCTGAGCCATCAGTTCCACATCACGTGGAAGAAATGTCGTATTTATTTAATATGACAGTGAGCAACCCAGCAGTCATAAGTTAGCGTTCTGTTAGTTACCACAGATTTCCAACTCTTGAAAGCTCGAGTTATGGTCATCCCTGATAGTAGGCTGGGGACCACAACAGACTTTAGTGTGGAGTCTTGAACATGTAACAGAACTCTTCTTAATCCTCATTGCAACCTCAGTATGAGACCATTTATCCTAACATGCTTCAAGGATTCTGCAAATACTGTTGATAGGTAACACAGTAAGTATTTTTCTAGATTGTTTGAGATATGTGATCTCATTGAATATTCTCAAACACCTGGGCAACAGACCAAAGTTAACTTCTCCAAGATTGCATGGCTAGTCAGGGAGGGAGGATCTCAATTTGAAGTTTCTTGACACTAGAACTCACACTGCTATTCACCACACCACAGCTTATCCCACAAAAGATTGTTTAACTTGTGATAAGTGCTACTCTGTGAGTTTAATTCACATTTGTTATTTACGGTCCAGCAACACTGGACTGACTGGTGTAGCATTGAATGAGTCCCTGTCTTTCTCAGAGTGTCATCCGCTCAGTCATTTTAAAATGAGTTGTGTTGCTTTTGTTGTTGTTTATTTATTTGAGGGGAAGAAAGAGACAGGCAGAGAAAGCCCTGACTGCTCATGCATCCTGTAAATGCCTTCCAGAGGCTGACACTGACCCAGACAAAGGCGGGGACGGGGACTTCACTGCACATATTTCATATGAGTGGGATGGACTCAGTCACATTACCCTGACCCCGCCATTTAGTATGCATTATCAGGAATCTGGAGTCAGGACAGAAGTCTGACACAGAGCAAGCATGTTTTAAATAAATTGTTATCCATCAGCTTAAACATCTGTTTCTGCCTATCTTTTAAATGAGATGAATGGATTAGTTCATTTCTTAAGACTGGAATTAAAAAGTAAGTCAATTTCTATTAAATTACAGTGGTGTTTCATAGTGAAATGCAGAAACTTTAGGTAGGAAACACATCTGTCTCATAGTTAAGAGAAAATGTAATTGGGCCCAGAGTGATAGCCTAGTGGCTAAATCCTTGCCTTGCATTTGCCAGGGTAA